GCCAATTCCCCGTAAAAAAAAAAAAAATTATGGGTTTCTACGGGGCATGGTTGACTGCGAAAATAAACAGGAACGCATTGGTAATTTGTAAACAACAAAGTTAGCTCAGCATTTTAAGTAATTTATAATCGTATAAAACGTCAAAGTAATTTCGCATAAAAAAGATCTTCCTCCTTTTCCTCTCTTTTGAAAGATTAAGTAATTTAGATATTGTGAGCAAAGTTGTTTTGTCAAACTTAAGTAAACAATCTTGTATTTATTCAAATGCAATGTATGTGTATACATGTGAGTATACTTTAGACAATTCTTGAAAGATATCTGCTATTATATCAAATCGGAAAAGAAACATGCCAATGTAAGATTTATACTTAGGTCAAAAAAGCAACCTTAGATTAGATTAAATTAACTATCGATAAACTATCGATCATAAAACTATCGATTTCAAGGGCAGTCAAACATAAGTTGCTCTTCTTTAGCTACAAAAAAAAAAAAAAAAAAAAAAAAAAAAAATGATACATATATTAAAAACGACGCCAAGCTAAGGTTTTCCTTCCAAGTTATCTTAGAAAGAGTAATAGAATTATCCCACCTCGTATGCAAATGAAGAAAAGGTAATGAATGCCATAGTTGTTTTCTTCTTGATTAAATGATAAAAGCACAGCAACTATCTGCAACTTTTAAGAAAATGTAGCTTATTTTATCTATTATTTTAAATTAATAAATAAGTATTATTAACTTTTTAAACGTTATAAATGCATACATTAATAACACCTCTTCTAAACTAAATTTTTTCACGCACAGTTTTTTAAAGCTGTTTTCTCAAATTTAAAACGTTTATTTCTTTGCTGCGAATTGCATCTTTGCAGTCAGTGTCAACACGATTACGTCATCACTCTTCACTTCTTGTTTCAGGAGGAGAAGCTTTATGGACTAGCCTTTCTCTTCTAAGTCCTGATCGCACAAGGTCAAATATACAAAGATGGTTACCATGATCATATTACATGATTCCAGAGACAGAGCGTGGTCTTCAGTTAACGCTCATGTCACTCATGCCAGAGGTGGCAGTTTCGAAACCCAGCTTTTTAAAATTCGCTCAATTATATAAAATTTATTCATTAAAAATACTATATTAATTTAAATAATAAAATCAGTTAAAGATAATGATTTATAATTAATAAGATTAAATAATTAAGCATAATGACGTACTAAATAATTAAAATTAATCGAGTATTAAATAATTAAATACAATAAAAGAAAACTGATGGCCTTCGAAACACGTGCCTCATGAAGTCTTTGCCACAAAAAGCAAAAAAACCTGAAAGTAGAGGAAATTGAGAGTTCCAGCTCGGGATCTTGGGGATCTGGAGTTGAGGGAGCTCCCGAGAAGGAAAGGTCAGCCGTGGGAGGGAGGCTTATCTGAAAATGGGGACAGGGAGCCTTATCAGGAGGTGGATAGATGTAGGGTAGTTGCTACGTCATAGAAAAGAGATATGCGCTTAGATTATTTTCTTTAGAATTTCATTGGTTCCACGGTAGTCATTATGAGTGAATGAAGGATTTATTAGTTTTCTTAAAATGAACAACTATTAGATATAACATTTATGTTTCTATGTAATGAACTTCTTTAAGATGGAGATTCCGTCATTGAAACATCCATTTACCTGTGTCGTTGCGGGTCCCACAGGATGCGGTAAAACCCATTTTGTGAAGAAAATTATTGATCATCGTATTATTTATCCTTTACCTTCACAAATTATTGGTGTATGTTATGGTGTATATCAAGAACTGTATGACGAAATACGAGGAGTTACCTTTGTGGAAGGACTTCCTTCGAATATCCAAGATATTTCTAATGCTGTGGTTATTATTGACGATTTAATGAGTGAATTAGGAAGTAACCCTAAATTAACACGTCTGTTTACGAAAGACAGCCATCATAAGAATATTTCTGTAATTTTTATCGTGCAAAATTTATTTCATAAGGGTAAGGAAATGCGTGTGCGTGAAATATCTTTAAATGCACATTACATTGTTTATTTAAAAATCCGAGAGATGTTAGCCAAATCTCTCATTTGGGGCGTCAGTTATATCCAGGTCGCGCCAAATTTTTCCAGGAAGTGTATTGCGATGCCACTCTTAAGCCTTATAGTTATTTGCTAATTGACTTAATGCCTCAAACAAAGGACGATTTGAGACTGCGCACTGGTATCTTTCCAGACGATATATATTACGCCTACGTACCGCGCTAAATCACTTAGACGTTTTACGTTCTAGATGGGCTGTTGTGATTGATTTCGAAGGCTTTCAGTTAAAGCCTAACTGTTATGTTATAAAAGAGCTTTCGTTTTTTTCTGTTTACGATGGTTCCCATGGCTGCTGGACTTTCCTTCCACCTAAACCTTCAGAAGAGCTTTCTGCTAAAGAAAGAAAACAAATTTCTTGGGTCACAAGGAATATGCATCACCTACACTGGGACAGCGGTGAGTTGCCTTATTCAAAGCTAAGAACTATACTGAGTTTCCTTTTTGATATGTATCCTAAAATTTATACTAAAGGTCTAGAAAAAGCAAAATTTTTTTGAATACTTATCAAGTCGTAGTATTTATAACTTAGATGACTTTGAATGTCCTAAAATTAGCGAGATTTCGAAGCCAAATGTGAAGTGCGCTTTTCATAAGCCTTATTTTCCACATTGCGCAGTTGTAAAAGCTACTGCATACGCATGTTTCCTTTCTAAATAAAAATGGCTTAATGATGTAAATGACTTTCAGTAACCGTTAACATGTCAAATTGTGCACAACAACATTTGCAGCATCTGAAGCTATTGGGGAAAAAAAGAGGGAACAAAGTGTTCCATTTTACGAAAAGCTCCTAATAGTTTAATTAAAGCTGTTTGCGAATGTGCAAGAAATGTGTTTTAAAAGGTAATGTACCCTTAAGTAGTGTTAGGAAAAAGAAACTTAGACCATTTAAAAGAATTTTAAGAAGTCTTGCTGATAAGAAAAACACCTTTATATAAAAAAGACGAGTATTAGTTCAAAAAGGAGAAGGATTTCTTAGTTTCCTCATTCCAGCAGCAGTTTCAGTGTTAAATACACTCATCCATGGAGCACGCTAGAAAAATGGTTCTTGTACCAGAAGACAGACTGAATAAGTTTCATTGGAGACAATTTAAGTGATATGGATAAAGAATGGATAAAACCTTGAGAAGAAAAGATTTATCAGAAAATGAAAAAGCCACAATTTATCTTCAAATTTTGCAAAAATATGTGTACATTACCCATTCCCCGCAGATGTAAAACCTAAAGAAGAGGAAAAAGAAGCAACCATAATAAAACCCGTAGCTGAGACTGAAGTGAATGTAAAGCATAACACCAATTCTTTGGAACGTCTTATACTTCAAAATGTGCCCGAAAAATTCAAACGCACTGCTGAAGACATTCTGAATTTCGTAAAAAATCATTCATCGACAATCTCATGGAATGCGAAAGGTGAATTAATATACAGAGGAGATACTATACATAACACTCATATAGCAGAATTAGTAGCCAACCTTTTAGAAAATAATAAAAATCATCCTAAAGGTCAAGATATATTTCATCGAACTTTAACTGAACTTGGTATATACCTACTTCTTTCATCAAAAATAAATACCTGTTACCAAAACGTTCACTACCGCAACGAAAAGTTAACAGAAAATTGTCTCCTGTATTTCCAAAACGGATGTTAGCACGCAGAAATGTAACCTGGTTGACGTACTAATAAATGTTTTTCCTTTTACTTTCAATGGTATTATTTTTTTCTTTTATTAAAAAAAAGCTTTATTATTATTATTTTTTTTTCTTCAATTATTATTTTTTATCTTTACTTTTTATCTTAAGAAATAAAATGAACTAAGTTAAGAATTAGTAACAAAAATGTTAATGCAAACGAGAATTAGCTTTCTTTCAGAACAACTTGTACATTTTATTAGTGTAAAATTTAGATTTCTTATTCTTTCAATACACAGATATTCTTAAAAAAAACACAATTTTATTTTTTTTTAAAATTCTAATTTTGTACAAAATGTTAAAATACAAGATTTTATGCTGCATCAAAAGTTCTTTTATCACTTATAAATAAGTTGATTATCTTTCTTCACTGCAAATTATTTTCTTACACCCCAGAAATGTTTTAGCTACAACATTACATTCACTCTTAGAATCCATGATGCCTTTGGCGTAGGTAGAACAATAATAATGAAAAACTTCATAAGATTGTTGTACACAATTACGTAAATCATGACCACAGTCTGGAAATGTTTCTTTAAAATAATGGAATTTTTGACATTTAATGTAGCCAATATGGTCTATACTTTGATAAATGTGATACAGGTTTAAAGAGGTTTGATTGATTTTAAAATTGGCATCTAAACTTCCAACATTTCCATTTGATGGGTAATGAATAAAATATAACACGATACTTCCAAATGCATAAGAAAAGGTGAGAAAAAGTACACAGTATTTATGTATCATGAAAATTTCCTTACACATCATTTCAATGAGCTGTAACTATTATATATAACAAATTTTGTACTTCTAAGCTTTCAGAGTAAAATATTTAGCAGAATTTATGAGATGTACAATTCTGAAAATACACTTTGTTAAAATGATTCTTGAAATTGTTGGGTAAGTAAAGAAATAGTAAAAAGAAACGTCTGTTAATATAAATTATCCCAGTTAGAATGAAGTAGAAGTAGAAGCAGCATATCATTTCACTTTTATATCTACCCGGGAGAAGAAGATGCTATGTTCATGAAACAAACAGAATAAAAACAGGAAACATTTCTAAGTTGAGATGATAAAGAAGAACAAAAACTCATTCATAATATAATATGATAATCTGATATATAAATTTATACCTACGAATCTGATTTGCAGAATAAAACATAGATCATTTTTGCTATTAATTGAATTTATTTTTTAAAACTCATTGTTACACCATATCTTTTTTTTAACAAATTGAAATAGTCTAAAATCATTGTTTTTACATTGAGATAAATCAGAAATAATACGTTCCATTGATTGTCCTTGACATCGTTTAAGCAGAAAATAGATGCAATAATGTCCACATACATTTGAAGTAACACTCTGGAAAGGAACATTATTCCATTTCACATTACTGATTTGAAAACCATAAACAGATGGAGGCATCCCATATGAATCGAAGAATTCGGCTGTTGATTTGTTCTCGATGAACCAGGCAACCCAATGCTGCCCAGGTTTATCTTGAGGATCTGTATTCATAACAAAACAAGATGGAGTAGCATGGATAATAGGTAAGCGATCAGCTGGAAACACACCTTGGAAAAAAGGAGCTGCCTGTGAGTCCTGAGATAAAATTTTTTGAATAACCGAAGCATACATTTAAAAGTCTGACAAAACAGTCCTTGACTTATTTATTTCAAGAACACTTTCGAACTCCGCATAAACGAGAACTGATATTGTCTGTTCCAAAGCAACACCAAATTTCACTTCAAGTCTTAAACTGCTGTGACGAATAAGATTAAAATGCTCTCCATCACATAAATCTGGACTTAAATCGAATGCAAATAATGTGTATCCTTTGGCATAATCTTCTCTGGATATATCAATTCCTCGGTCTTCTCTGTTAGTTCCAAGAAATAAACTTTGGAATGCTCTAATATAATTGTTCTGATCAAAATTAGGCTCAACTGGATTATAAGGTAAAGGCTGCCCATCCACGTAAACCCCTATAAAATTCATATGGTAATGCTTAAATTCGAAAGGCGATTTTTTATAATTTCCGTTTAAGGCATCGTTATCTAAACAAGCCACAATGATACGTTTGGGCATCTGACCCACAAATACATTATCTTGAACAAAAGACATATTGCCTTGAGGAATGGAAAATACTTTGCATAGAACTCTTTGAATGGGATATTTTGCAGAACCTTTTTCCAAAGCTTTAGCATGTCCTAGTGAAACAGCTGGACTAACATGAACTTTACGCACGAAAAGTGAAACGTGTTCAAGTGCGACTTTGTAGTCACCATTTTCCGCCATTAAGCAAAATTCTGGTTTACTGCGAATAAGTTTTAATTTGACATCCACTAAATTCAGTAATAAGCGTTCTTGATGAAATAAATCCAGATGCAGTCTGCCTATCATATCTAGAGAGCAGCACTTAGTTTAAAAAATTCAGCTCGTTTATTAAATCCTTCATTTCCATCAATGTTCATATGGCCTGGTGTATCTTTATAAAATAATTCCGAAGTTAATTGCGATACTTTAGTATCATAACCATGATTTAGTAACGTTTCTATAAGTGCTCGATATGGATATGTATTATCTGAAGACGTTATCAGCCTTTCATTTAATTTCACATCGATTTGAGAAAATAAAGAGTGGAGAAATAAATTAACTGGTCCAACTTTGGCATCTTTTTGCAGGTGTGAACCATCCGAGTTGAGAATTTTTGCTTTTACATACAGGTGAGTTTCTGATAGATCTAAATAATCTTCCCCTCCAGAAATGTGAAATTCGATAGGACCCCCATCGCTAACATTTGCTAACGGATGAAATTGAACCCATTGCCCCTTTCAACTACTGTTTGAGTAGGAGGCGTCAGAAATAGATTCAGTTCCGATTTGACGCATTCGGGTGAGTCTTTCAATACAAATGTCATAATTACGGATCAAAAATATCACGTCCTTTCACCTTCCTAGCTTTCGAAGAAATGATACGTTTTGGCATTTTCCGCTTTCTTTTGCGTTTTCCGCTGCCTAACATGTCATGCGCTTTTCTTATAGCTCTTTGAGCTAGCGTTTTGCTCGCTTCCCGAGTTCTTTCTTTAGCTGAGGTTTCAAAATCTTTCCCCGATAACACATCGCTCGCAATATGTGTTCCGGTTCGCAAAGCTTCTTTCCCTACTGTTTTCGCGCCTTTGATAAAGAACGGCATCGCAGTACGAAACAATCGTCTAAAAAATCCTCCAAATCCATACCCTTTTTGAAAAGAAGTTCCTTGATAATAAGGAAGCCCAGATCCTACTTGCGTAGTATAAAAGTCTTCATAAGCTTTTGCGCAACAGTTGTATGGAACATACATCTTCTTTGAAGTCTGAGATGTGAATGTCAATTTTTGCGTCATGTGTTTATACTTATAAAATTTGTTTCATTCTGAAATGCAAAACAAGCCACACTTTGCCTCTTTCGAATGGTACTAGCTGCCCTGAGTTAAATCGAAGTTCTACTTCCACTGTCTGAAAATGTTGGCGAATCACGGGGAACATACTGCGGACGTTCATAATGAGCACTTACCATTTCTCCATCTTTTCCATTAACTTTCACTATTCTTAGTAGTAGAGGTGCTTGAGTATCACCTACGAGTTGTGGTTCTACGATATCTGAATATACATAAATAACTGGAAACGACGCATGTGGATCGGCTACGTACGGACTATCAGCCACGCCTTGAATTTCTGTCGGTTCAAATCCTAAAATTTCACTGATTCCTTCTGTCAAAATTATTTTAGTATTTTTTAATGTTTTTACTCTTACACGCTTCGTCACACTGTTGTAATTGAATTCAACTTTACCTCTTAGATCGGGAATCATGATAGCTTTAATTAAATCTGGAATGGTTTCATAATAACCTGCAGGAATGCGTCTTGAAATAGTTTTCCCATCCCCCAAGTCGAAGCCAAATAAATTGTTGTTTTCGTTTATGTTGTGCCACGAATGTGGGTAAATTATTTCGGAAATGCCTACCTCGAACTCTCCATTGAGATTTATACTAGATGGTAACTGCGTAATGAAATGGGAAATTTTATTTTCAGGGAAGTAGTGTAGAGAAGAATCGCTTACGAGTGTCATATAGAAAGACATGATTCCAACTAATTATTAAAAGTGTATTTCACAGCTTTATACCATTTTCACATCAGAGACCCAGGCGTTAAATTTTTTAGGATACCCTTCAAATTTTACAAAATATTCTGTTTTCCCACCTACCTTCCGTTTTTTCAAAACATTTTCAACAAGGTAATACCCGCTATCATTCACTTTCTGTAATTCCTGCTCATAAAATGAACCTTTAATGATTTCATTCGATAAATCTTTTAATTTATAAACAGGAATCTCGCGTGCTAATACTTCATAAATGCTAAATAATTCTCGAGACCAGTTTTGCTCATAACCTTTTTTTCGAATTTCATTTTCTGTTTGCTTATTCTTACAATATCCCCCACCTTAAGACGAGGTGACTTAGGATTTTCAATACGTCCATATAAATTTTTCCATGCTAACTTTTCATTTTCTTTCGTTACAGATACTGGTTTCATTTTAATACTTCTATGTACAGAATGATTGTAACTATGCATTAAGTCGTCTAAAACATCAATATACTTACGTGTATTGAATTGTGTAAAATATTTCCACATCTTTGTTTTAAGGGTGCGATTAAATCGCTCAACAACACTCGCTTTCAGTTCACTGTGTGTAGTAAAGAACAGAATTTTCAGACTTTTTAAATAATTTTGAAAATTTATGTTTAGAAATTCCTTCCCTTTATCTGTTTGTAAAAATTTCGGTTTGCGTTCAGAAAATATTTTTTCAAAGGCTTTTATAATGCTTTTACTAGTTTTATTTTTCAGATGTGTTGCCCATGCATATTTCGATAAGATATCAACACATGTTAATAAATATTTTAAACCATTGTTATGCTTTGCTAAATTGCTGAGATCTACTAAGTCTGCTTGCCATTGTTGATCTATATGACCAACAATTACACGATTTTCTTTAAACGTTTTTTCACAGGTTTATGAAGCGTGTACGCGTCATTACTTTCCAGCCACTTCCCAATTTTACTTTTTGAAACTTTCTTTTCCCCGATACGGTACAACGCATTTATTCCACCGAAACTTTCCGGTTTTCTGGGATCTTTATAAATTTCTATAATACTATCTATAATTTTTCTCACTTTTACAAAATGAACGCATTCACTTTCACACTACATGCATAAATGATAGAAATTTCTCGAAGAAGTAAAATAGAGCTTCCTGATCAAGAACAAGATTACTGTAGTAGAAATCAAAGTTGAGATAAAGGGTTCAAATTGTTTAATATGTACATTTCCAGACTTGTAAAAGATAACACGACATGTACCACATTATTCAAGATAGCACGAATAATCATAAAACTAATATTAGATATGTAAGATACTGACCAAGAACGAGATCAACCCACTAGACGTCCATTATTGAAAGTTGAGATAAAGGGTTGAAATTGTTTATATGTATATTTCAAAGTTTGGAAAAGATAAAACGTCACGTACCACATTCATTAATGTTGTTTAAGAGAGGACGCGTAATCATAAGAATAATATTAGATAAGTAAAATACTGGACCAAGAACAAGATCACTAGATGTCAAAGTTGAGATAAAGGTCTAAAATTGTTTAATATGTACATTTCAAAGCTTGCAAAAGATAACACGTCATGCATCAGATTGGTTACTAACGTCTAAGAAAGTACGCGTAATCATAATGCCAATATTTATTATCGTTTACGATAAAAGCAGCATATAGAAATATATAGGCCATGGGAAGGGACTTTATTATCATCTGGAATAGCGTCATAGCTGGGAGCAGTGGTGTTGAAAGATGGATCCGATAAAAGAAATAAGTAATTTTATAATTCTTTATTTAATTCTCTAACTTTAGAAAATATTAATTGATTAATTCAATTAAATAAAAAAATTCTTTAATGGAATCGTATTAAGTAATTTGATTTATATACCAATAGAAATAAATCTCAGGTTTATAGAAAGTAATTAATTATTTCTAAATAACATAAAAGTTTCATTAACTAAAATCCTATTGTATTTTTAGAATGAACGGTTAAAAAAATTAATGTAGCAACTTAACATCCAGGTTTAATAAAATGTTTGTATTTGGGCTAATTAATAGTTTGATGCTGAACCATGGCCATTAACGGAGGAGCAAACAGATAACCTGCTGGAACTTCGCTGAAGTGGCAAATTATTTTTCAATACCAGATCTGTCTGACTTTGACGACGAAGTTAAAGAGAATGATGAAATAGCTACCAATGTAATCATTTCTTCTTCTCTAAATCAAGCAAGGAATGGAATCTTAAGTCCCTTTTTAAATTATTGTTGATGTTCATAGCATCTTTAATGAAGAAGTAGTATGAATGTAATTTTAGGGGTGGGAAAGAATTAAAAAGCAAAATACTATCTTTTTGGGTTATAATTCTGCTTTTTCTAACTTGGTTTCGATTATGTTGTAGAGACATTAGGATTTTTTTAGAGGCAGAAAAGATGAAAAATAGCAACCGCCTTCGCCGGGAATCGAAACACGGACCTCTGGAATTCAGGCTCAGCGTGCTACCGTTACACCACGAATGCACGCTAGGGAAGTGGGAGAAATACCTTATATACTGCCCTTTTTAAAGGGCGACTAGGGTTTTAGGGGACCTAGTTGCCAAATCCTGGGTGTGGAGAATCATCACCCACCACCCTCCTTTTAGTTCGGGCGCCACTGTAGAGACATTAGAATTTTTTTTTTTTTTTTTTTGGAAGCAGACAAGATGAAAAATATGCAACCTCCTTCGCCGGGAATCGAACCACGGACCTCTGGAATACCGGCCCAGCGTGATACCGTTACACCACGAAGGCACACTAGGGAAGTGAGAGAAATACCTTATAATATTTAATACTGAATAATATTAGATATGTAAGATACTGACCAAGAACAAGATCACTAGATGTCAAAGTTGAGATAAAGGTCTAAAATTGTTTAATATGTACATTTCAAAGCTTGAAAAAGATAACACGTCATGCATCAGATTGGTTACTAACGTCTAAGAAAGTACGCGTAATCATAATGCCAATATTTATTATCTTAGTCTATAACTTCGAGAACTGTTTCTGTGCTGAATGAACGTCTATGTATCTTTCTCCTTAGCATTTATTTGATTTATGAGAAAAATAGACAGTGATTAGGAATGTAAATGTAAATAAAACCAATTAAAACAATGAGAGCAATTATGCTTGTTTCTTGTTTTTATTGTGTAGCAAATATAATGAGTTTTTTAATTCATTATATTTTTAAAGGATAAAATTATGAAGGTGTGTTTATGAATCAATCAGCGATTGCTTATTGATGTATATATATATATATATATATATATATGTGTGTGTGTGTGTGTGTGTGTGTGTGATGTACCAGCTTTAGTCGTAGCTTAAATAATCAGACCATAAGTTTAAAAAACAGGATCCATTTATTATTATTCAGGAGAAATAGCAGTTACAAAAATCAGATATTCGGAGTAAATAAAAAGAATTACTAATAACTTTTTGTATGAAGTTTACTGCATCGTGACATTTAAGAAAAAGCCCCTATATTCCTTTTGCGAGTCCTTTTATAGCCTCTGGAAAGGCGGAGCTTCCAAGAAATGACGTCAGCTTCATCAGCCAATCCAGTTCCCTTTAAATATTTCCAGAACATTCTATAACTGTACGTGTAAAAAAGGCGGGGAAAACAACTTGACTACGGGGCTGTGGATTTAATTCCACGTACTTTCAAATAAGAGAACGTCGCCATTAAAAATGAAACGAACATACAGTTAGAACTTTAACGTGTATTCTTGACTATGGAATTTTATTATTACATATATATATATTCTTATTAGAACATAATTTTTGTGTTATCATGTTTATGTGGGAACGTTAAAGTTCTGTATTAAAAAAATCTCAATTGAGATTGTCTTTAAATACTAAACTAAAATTCCAGATGCTTCTTCCCTAAATTTTACTAAAACTAGATTTTCAGAACTAAATTTCCAGGTACTTTATATCATAAGATGAACAAAAATATCTGAAATAAAATGTTTAAAATAAATCATGCATAACAAGAAAGTCAGTTAATATTAGTTTTGTTAAAAAAAAAAAAAAAAAAAAAAAAAAAGGACGTAGAACATATTTTTTATGAGTAATTTTTTCACAAACATTTTAGAGGTTAAAATTAATAAGACTAAATTTTGGAATTTTTTTTTCCTTTTGTAGTGGAAATGCAAAACTTGCCAAAAATCCTTGCCAAAATCTGGCTCGAAATAACATGTTGAGGCATGAGAGGCTACACTCCTGAGAATGCAAAACATATTAAATGCGGCCACTGTGGAAAGGGATTTGCTCGTCGGTATGCTGCCAAGCACCATGAAACAAGTGTCTGAAAAGACCTTTAACTTCAGGTGTATTTGGTGTATTTAATTATGGCAACAAAGCACACTAGGGCTATCTGCCTAAGGGGAGGGATGCCTTCGTGGAGGACTTTCTAAGGGAAACTGGCTCGTATACACGTTACACATGGGGAAAACCACGAAAACACCCATGCAGCCAGCCCGTTCGCGGGATTCGAACCTCGGACCGAACTACCAGTGTTCAGCGACTTTACCGCTCGGCCGCTGGTGGGCCCCTTTAACTTCAGAAGCAGACGCAAACTCCCATATACAAGCATCTCTACCCCCAGCCAAGAAATTAAAGAAGAACTTTCCTGATTGTCGAGGAAGCTCTTAACTCCTTCAAACAATATATCATTTTACCCGAAGATGGATCCGATGAAGATCTCACCGTTTTTCTTTCAACTGTTCAAGATAGTGTACGCGAACGATTACGGGAATATTTAACACTTAATAGAGGTATTAAATGGTACTACGTTGTTAGTGCGAAATTCATAAGGTTTGTAACCGAAGAAGAAATAGAAACAACTACAGCCCATTTTAGAAGTACATGTATGTTAAATCTGGATGAGAAGCTTTGATGATAATCTCTCCGTAGCCGTAAGAAAAATTATGTCGTCTTATGACGAATTCTTGGAAAGAGGAAGTGGGTGGATCTTAGACAAAGTAAAAAGACTCGAGTTAAAAGTAGCAAGTTATGTTCCTCTTAGTGGTTCATCATTTCTGCATTTGCCTCAGAGACTAGAAAATACAAAGTCTATTCTAAATATTGTAAATGAAGATAACAAATGTTTCCGTTGGTTTATCCTTGCCCCTCTTCATCCTTAGAAGGTGTTGGTGTTTTTAATTATGGCAAAGCACACTAGGGCTATCTGCCTAAGGGAAGAATGACGAAAAAAAAGCTAAGAAATGCATCGCTTCTCCTGCATTTCAATCATTTTCCATTTTTGACAATGATTTAGTAGCTGTAAAAATGCAAATCAAGACATTAATTTTAAATCGGTCTATATATGCCGGATTCTCAATTTTAGATATTTCTAAAACACTTATATATCAATTTCACTATGATTTCATGAAGATGAAGT